GATGTTTACAACCGCAGGCCAACATGTGGCAGTTTCATTCAACAGGACGTGAGGTCAACGTGAGGTCAACATGAGGTCAACATGAGGTCGACTTGAGGTCAATCTAGCAAGTTATATTCCGTCCTCTAAACTCTCTGAATATCAAGTTTCCCTCTGACAGCTTTGGACATGATTTCATATTATTTCCCTTTTTGCCCGCGGCGCTCAGTGATGACATGTTGATGGAGGTCCAGAAAAGGGGCGGAGACTTCGGGACCAACAGTGACCGTGGATTGGTCAGTGAATGATTGACGGGTTTCTTCATGTCACATTGACATATAAGTAACTTGTTCAGTAGTTTCTAGTTCTTACTTTTTCTTGAAAAAGAAAAACAAAAACATCAAAGCTTCTTTCCTGCTCTGTATTACCTACAGTTGGACTCTAGGTGGCAGCATTTGCAAAGCTCTAGAGATTAAACTGATTTTAGTCAGTCATCTCCGGTGTGTTGACTGTTTGTTTTCAGATGTTAGATTTTGTCTCTGCAGATTCTGGTTGTTCCAGGAAGAGAAACCGGAAGTGCATCCAGGATTTTCTAATCCAGAAACATTTAATCCGCCTCCAGCAGGAATGATGATGGATTCTGTTCAGATCCTGGTGGCTCTGAACCTGCTGCCAGTTAAAGGCTCAATTCACCCAAACAAACCGTTAAATTAGGAAGTTTTCCTCAAAGGAAGAAATGCTGAAAACTTTCATGTAAGGAAACTAGAAATTAAAATGAGGATTTTGATAAAAAAAAAAAAAATCATTTTGTGTGTCCAGCAGGGATCATCTGTTTCTCAAATATTAAAGACACAAAATTCATAAAGAAAAACTTTTGTTTTTAATTTTTATTATGTAAAAGTTTAAGAACATAAAACAATAAAATGTTAAATTAATACAATTAAAATAAAAGATCAATAACTTTTTAAACATTGGAGTAGATAAGTCACAGAATGATTTAGATTTTGTCACAAATACTAACAAAATATACAATAATAAACTGAGGCGCTTAGTTTTATAGTAAAAAACTCAAATCTTTAATTCCATAGCTCATAAATGAGGAACAAACTGGAATCTGGAACCAAAGAGTTAAAGTTTTGATTTTGTTTGACATTTTTAAATGGAGACGACTTTGTGTTGCTTTCTGCAGGAATCCTGCAGCTCAAAAGAGAAGAAATATTCAACTTTCTGTGCTGAATGTGAGCAGCTTGTTGTTACTGGAAAACCTTTAAGCATTTAAAACTTAATTATAAAGCATCAGTGGTGAAAAACAGATCAAATGAGCTCAACAAGTTCAGTCACTTTTGCTTTTTAACGTGTGAAAAATGAATCAAAACTTAATTTAGTGACTATAATGAGGAAATTTTACAGCTGTAATTCCAAAGTGAAGTCAGGATATAATATCATGTTTTTAATGTTTTGAAACTTGGATTTAGGTGACAGGAACCAGAAGAACCAGAATAACTGGATGATCCATCAGAGCAAAATCTGTTTTCATTCAGCAAAATTTAAACTTTTGAATAGAATATCATTAAAAGTCATTTTTACAAAACAAAGTTTATAAATGTGAGATTCTGGAGAATATCCAGGGATTAGAAAGGAAAATGAATCCTGACAGCTGGATGAATTTATGGGAAAGACTTTCTGACTTGTCTCTATTTTAATGATTTTATTACATCTTTAAAAAAACAAATATCCAGTTTTATCTCTATGTTTCCTGAAGTGATAAGTTTCTTCCTGTAGTGAAAACGACTCAGAGACTCATTAGATGATTTGAATTAATTTTTTTTTTTGTTTGTTTTCATTTTTACAGAGAATCTGAAGTTTTATGAACGTTTTCAGGTTAAGAAACAACAGAAACAACTTCAGTTCATTTAAAACATGAAACAAGTGAAACTTTAAGGCCATTATAACATCTTTACTTCCTCAATTTATAAATCACTTTGCAGACAAAATAAAAAAATCTCAGGGAGAAAATCTACTTGCGTTTACAGAACTCTGCAGAACCTCCTATTGACCAGTAAACCCAAACTCCAGCATGCAGCGGCTCAGTGAATCTGGTCTGGACTCTGTGGATCAGAGTCATGGATCCAGAGACGCTGTAGAAGGACAGAATACCTGCTCTGTGGTCCAGGTACACTCCCACTCTGGAGGAAACTGGACCGGAGATGGAGGTCCAGATGTTGTTGTGACCAAATTGATAATCATCTGAGTAACAAGCTAAAGCCCAGGATTTGTCATTATGTCCAAATTTACATTCATTCCCACCTCCTGCTCTGCTGATACTTTTATATGCGACGGCTACAAAAGCTGTCCCTCTCCACTCCACCTCCCAGTAACAACGACCAGTTAGTCTCTCTTTACTCAGAACCTGCCGCCATGAAGTGAATCTTTCTGGATGACTTGGATAAGACTGAGGTTGACCCATCGCTGTCACCTTCCTGTTCTCCTCTGACAGAACCAGCATTGTGTGAGCCGTGTTTGGATCCAATGTGATTTGACATGAATATCTCAAGAATTCAGCTCTGCTCTTTGGTTCTGGTTCTGACAGCAGAACATCCACCTCAGTGACCATCAGTGAGATGTTTGTCCATGAGTCTCTCAGGACGTCCTGTAGTTTGTCTCTGAGCTCTGACACAGCTGCTGCCACGTCCTCAAAGTGTCTCAGAGGACGGATGTTGATGCTGGATGAGTGTGTGGACTCACTGAGTGCTGGCAGTGAGGGGTAGTTGAGGAGAAACTGGTTGTGATCCTCTGTGTGTGAGAGCTGCTCCAGCTCAGCGTCTTTCCTCTTCAGCTCAGTGATCTCCTGCTGCAGCTTCTCCTCAACATCTTTGACTCGACTCACTTCAGTTTCCTGCTGGGATCTGATCTGCTGCTTCACATCAGAGCTTCTTTCCTGGAGGAGACGGATCAGCTGGGTGAAGATCTCCTCACTGTCCTCCACTGTTTTATCAGCAGAGTGATTGATGGCCTCCACCTCCTGTTGAAGCAGCTTCACATCTTTCTCTCTGTCCTGGATTCTCTGCTGGATGTTTCCTCGTCTCCTCCAGCTCTCTCTGCCTCTCAGTCCTTTCTGCTGCAGCTGATACTGTCGTGGCCTTTATGTTCATCCATAGTGCAGAGATAACAGATACACTTCTGATCAGTGCGGCAGAAGATCTTCATCACCTCATCATGCTTAGAGCAGATGTTCTCCTGGAGGTTCTTGTTCGGCTCCACCAGCTTGTGGTACCTGAAAGTTGATGAATAATGATGAGGCTGAAGGTGTTTCTCACAATAAGAGGCCAGACAGAATAAACAGGACTTGATGGCTTTCAGTTTCCTCCCAGTGCAGAAATCACAGGCCACATCTTCAGGTCCAGCATAACAGTGATCAGCAGGAGCAGCTTGGAGTCCAGTCTTCTTCAGCTGCTCCACTAAAGCTGCTAACATGGTGTTCTTCTATAAAACAGGCCTCGGTGTGAATGTCTTCCTGCATTGAGGGCAGTGGTAGTTCTTCTTCTGCTCACCTTCATCCCAGAAACTTTTAATGCAGTTCATGCAGTAACTGTGTCCACAGGGAATCGTCACCGGATCCTTCAGTAGATCCAAACAGATCGAACAGGAGAAAGTTTCTCTGTCCGGCTGATTCTGCTCCATTTCTGCTCTCAGTCTCAGTGACTGTGTGAGTTTCACTTCCTGAAAACAGAAACTGGGTTGAGCTCTGATCTATGAGTCACATGTCAGTGCTGCAGCCAATCAGGTCGCTGAGGACTAACAGGTTTTACTGCCTGTACAAGCAGCAGAACTTGGAATCTAACCTTTGTCTCCTCATTTACTGTCAATAGTTGAATATTTACAGAGTTTATTCTCTTACTTTCACCTTCAACCTTAAAATAAACCTTTAACTTTGCAAAGATCAAATATTCAGTCTTTAAATATTTTAAATATAAATCATAAACTGAATCAGGATCAGTATTATAAGTCACTCATCTATAGATAAAAATAACTAATTGACTTGATGTATGTCAGCTGATCAGTGTAATGGATCCTTATGACTTGATTCTGCAGCAGAAAGCAGATTATTGTCTATGCAGCAGAATCCAAGCATCAGATCTTATCATTTATAATTCAGAGAAACTTTAGACATTTCTCTGTATCAGTTTGATTTATTGAAGAAAGTCAAAGAGAAAAGCTGGAATTTAATTTCCTGACATTGAAAGAATTTACAATATAAGTTTGATTTGATGTTAGTTTTCTTTGGATTTCAAGTTTAAATGATTTCAACCTGAAGTGATTTAAAGAACATTTGTTCAACAGAGGAAGACAAACCAGAGCATCTAAATTCATATATTAAAGCAAACAAATTATTAGTCCAGAGAAGTTTAGAGAAATATTTCTGTCATATAAGAAGGAAAGAAAGAAAGAAAACATCAGTAATAAAATCCTTTATGGTTCCTGGTAATTGAATTTATATGAAACATTTTCATCAATAGGTCAGTTCAAAGTGCTTTGCATAAAAAATACAAACAAAATAAAACAAAAGAAAGACAAAAATGTAAAAGAATAAAACTACATATTGGTAAGAATAATTGGTCCATATTTCATAAACTAGCAGGAGTTTCTCTGAATACTTATTCTGATTGAACTAAATGATTAAATATTCAGTTTAATTAAACTAAATGTTTGTTTTGTGAATTAGTTTTTGTTTTAAAAAATGTTTTTCTGATTTTTAGTAAATAGAAATACTTTTATTAATTTAACTGGAAAAAAACAGGGAACATTTCATCTGGTTTAAGTGTTAGAAAAACACAAAGGTTGTTTTTTGCGTCTGTCCTGATTATATGACAAACTGACTTGCCATATCCCGTCCTGAGCGCTGGACGTTCAGAGTCCTGGTCCACATGTTAACAGCAGGAGGAGTCAGTGAGACATGAGGAAGAGGAGGAGGAGGAAGAGCAGGGGGAGGAGCTTCTCTGTCCGGGTCGGGCTCACCGAGTCCCGGCTGAAAGGTCCAAAGTTCCCGCGGCGAGCCGCGTCTCTCCTCTGCTCCAAACTGTCGGAGCTCAGGCGCATCCAGACGCGCAGGACGCAGCGCGACCAGACGGACTTTAACTGGATGAAAACTCCTGAAACAAAGAGTGAAGGCGCTGCTGAGGGAGCGAGGGAGCGAGGGAAGGAGGGAAGGAAGGAAGGACGGAGCATCCCGCAGCGGCTGGCAGGATGAAGACGATGCGCTGAAAGTTTCGGTTCGTTTTAACTGGGAATGAGTTGGATCAGCGTCCACACAGGGAATCCTCTGGGATTACAATAAAGAGGAGCCATGGATAACTTCTTCACTGAGGTAAGAAAAGCTGCAGCAGCTGCTGCAGCAGGTCAGGAAACTCCTGCTGCAGCAGCTTGGTTCTCATAGTGAAACATACTTTAGATTTCTAGATTTGTTTCCTCCTGCTGATTCCAAACAAACTTCATGTTTCCTGTCAACCTTTGACCCCAGTGAGGGGTTCTGGAGGAGTTTCATAGAAACATGGAGTCTCTCAGGTCCCTCAGAGGAGGTTCGGTCCGGTTCAGTTCGGGTCGGTCCCAGTGGGTCTTTGGTATTTCCGCACCTCATTTTCTGGTTTCCTTCAATAAAGAAAGAAGTGAAAACCTTAGAGCTAAAAATAGACTGAAGCTGAGTGGGTCACCTGATGAATGAGGTTCTGGTTCTGGTTCTGGTTCTGGTTGTCTGAATGCTTGGAGGTCCAGCTGATCAATCCTGTACTGGTAGAGATAGACGTTGATGTTTGGATCCACAAGAATCATCTGGCAGCTCCTGAAGCTCCTGACAGTGAGACAGAAAGAGACGCAGGTTTAAAACCATCAGAGCTTCACAGAATCACATCTTCAGTCACAACTTCAGTCATTTTGTCAGTCAGTCACATCTTCAGTCACATCTTCAGTCACATCTTCAGTCACATCGTCAGTCACATCTTCAGTCACATCGTCAATCACATCATCAGTCACATCATCAGTCAGTCACATCGTCAGTCACATTTTCAGTCACATCTTCAGTCACATCGTCAGTCAGTCACATCATCATCAGTCACATCGTCAGTCACATCGTCAGTCAGTCACATCGTCAGTCACATCGTCAGTCAGTCACATCGTCAGTCACATTTTCAGTCACATCGTCAGTCAGTCACATCGTCAGTCAGTCACATCGTCAGTCAGTCACATCGTCAGTCACATCATCAATCACATCTTCAGTCACATCGTCAGTCAGTCACATCTTCAGTCACATCATCAGTCAGTCACATCGTCAGTCACATTTTCAGTCACATCGTCAGTCAGTCACATCGTCAGTCACATCATCAATCACATCATCAGTCACATCATCAGTCAGTCACATCATCAGTCAGTCACATCGTCAGTCAGTCACATCGTCAGTCAGTCACATCGTCAGTCACATTTTCAGTCACATCGTCAGTCACATCGTCAGTCAGTCACATCGTCAGTCACATTTTCAGTCACATCATCAGTCACATCATCAGTCAGTCACATCGTCAGTCACATCTTCAGTCACATCGTCAGTCAGTCACATCATTAGTCACATCATCAGTCAGTCACATCGTCAGTCACATCTTCAGTCACATCGTCAGTCACATCGTCAGTCACATCATCAGTCACATCGTCAGTCACATCATCAGTCAGTCACATCATCAGTCAGTCACATCGTCAGTCACATCGTCAGTCACATCATCAGTCAGTCACATCTTCAGTCACATCGTCAGTCACATCATCAGTCAGTCACATCGTCAGTCACATCGTCAGTCACATTTTCAGTCACATCATCAGTCACATCATCAGTCAGTCACATCGTCAGTCACATTTTCAGTCACATCTTCAGTCACATCGTCAGTCAGTCACATCGTCAGTCACATCGTCAGTCACATCGTCAGTCAGTCACATCGTCAGTCACATCGTCAGTCAGTCACATCGTCAGTCACATTTTCAGTCACATCGTCAGTCACATCATCAGTCAGTCACATCGTCAGTCAGTCACATCGTCAGTCACATTTTCAGTCACATCGTCAGTCAGTCACATCATCAGTCACATCATCAGTCAGTCACATCGTCAGTCACATCGTCAGTCACATCGTCAGTCAGTCACATCATTAGTCACATCATCAGTCAGTCACATCGTCAGTCATCGTCAGTCACATCGTCAGTCACATCGTCAGTCAGTCACATCATTAGTCACATCATCAGTCAGTCACATCGTCAGTCACATCGTCAGTCACATCATTAGTCACATCATCAGTCAGTCACATCGTCAGTCACATCGTCAGTCAGTCACATCGTCAGTCACATCGTCAGTCACATCGTCAGTCAGTCACATCATTAGTCACATCATCAGTCAGTCACATCGTCAGTCACATCGTCAGTCAGTCACATCGTCAGTCACATTTTCAGTCACATTTTCAGTCACATCATCAGTCACATCATCAGTCAGTCACATCGTCAGTCAGTCACATCGTCAGTCACATCATCAATCACATCGTCAGTCACATCATCAGTCAGTCACATCGTCAGTCAGTCACATCGTCAGTCACATCATCAGTCACATCGTCATTCACATTTTCAGTCACATCATCAGTCACATCGTCAGTCACATTTTCAGTCACATCATCAGTCACATCGTCAGTCACATTTTCAGTCACATCGTCAGTCACATCGTCAGTCAGTCACATCGTCAGTCACATCATCAGTCACATCTTCAGTCACATCGTCAGTCACATCGTCAGTCACATCATCAGTCAGTCACATCATCAGTCAGTCACATCGTCAGTCAGTCACATCGTCAGTCAGTCACATCGTCAGTCACATCGTCAGTCACATTTTCAGTCACATCATCAGTCACATCGTCAGTCACATTTTCAGTCACATCGTCAGTCACATCGTCAGTCAGTCACATCGTCAGTCACATCGTCAGTCACATCGTCAGTCACATCGTCAGTCAGTCACATCGTCAGTCAGTCACATCATCAGTCACATCGTCAGTCAGTCACATCGTCAGTCAGTCACATCGTCAGTCACATTATCAGTCACATCGTCAGTCACATCATCAGTCACATCGTCAGTCAGTCACACTTCGTCAGTCTGCATGAGGCTCATTCTTCTGTTTGTTTTCCTGCTGCACGTCTCACCAGGTGAGTCTCACATGGTCTTTGTGTGACGGTCGGTCGCTGCGGTTCAGAGGCGACCAAAACTCTGTCGATTCTTTGCTGTTTCCATTAAATGAGAAATTTGATGAAAATCTCAGGGAATAATTGATAAAATGCTGTGAGCGTTTTATCAATTACCTGCCAATAATCACTTTACTGCTGTAAACCAACCGATGTGACGCATAATAAATGTTTTTATTGCAGTTTGGCAAAATGCATCCAGATGTGCAACACCTCGTCCCAGCCCAAAAGGTTTCAACTGAAAATGTTTTTTTTAAAGAAATTTATTTTCATAATTCAGTTTGCCCAGTTTTCTGCAGGCTGTCTGCATTGATGATGATTGACTCACCTCAGCATGTGAGATGCTTGAAACTTAAAACATTTTGATGAATCTGGATAGAAATGAATTGATGAATTGAACTTTAATAGTTGGACGCTCAGGCTGCTGCCTGATGACGTTTCTCTTGAGATGCCGACTTTCATCCTCTGCTGACAAAATCTGTCCAAACCGAACCGTCGGGTTTCTGATCTCATTCCTCCTGAACTCAGAAAGACATAAAATAACTTTTACTTTTTTTAATGGATTTCATTTTTCGTCTGCTGGAAATGTTTTCCTTTAAATAGGCCAGTAAGCGGTTGGGACATGTGTGCTGAGGCTGCTGGATCCATTTGGTTTTACTACATCAGTAAACCACACCTGGGAGTGATGATGTCATCCAGGTAGAGTCATTCCTGAGAGTTCAGGTGCAGGGAAACAGATTTTAAAACCAGTTCTACCTCATCTGGATCTGTAACGGCCGTTAACTCCGACTTCCTGGTTGAAAGCCTTCCTGTCCTCTGATTGGTGCCGAGCCGGTTTGAAATCCTGAAGGAGTTTTTAGTGGAATGAAAGGTCAGAGGTCATGAGAACTTAAAGGTGCGGGTGTAAAGCAAACACTGCGGTACCGCAGTGTTTCCCCCGCAGTGCAGCGTGGCGCCGGTCCCGCGACGGGCCGGCGGTTCGTCTGGTGGGCCGCAGCGCGCAGGTTCGGGTTTTACGCTGCTTCAGAACCAGAAACAGGCAGACGGTCGTTGGCTTTGTGTTTCTAACTAAACACAGACGGAACAAAGAAACTTTCAGTCTCTGGTTCAGTTGTAATAAAATTCTCTGTGAAGTTCTGAAGTCGGCTTTTAAAGTTCTGATGATCCGAACCTCTGAGTTTCATCTCAGTTTTTAATCTGTTAACATTTCAGAAAATTTTCCTCATTCATAGTTTTGGTCTTTTTTTTTTTTTTACAAAATCTTTTTTTAATCCAGGAATTTCTAAATTTGTAGTTGTTTTAAAACTACAAATATTATTAATATAATAAATTATAAAATATAGAATTTATTCCTCTAATCAAAAACTTTTAGTTTATATTCTAGAATTTTGTCATTTTTGTTTTCTGCCTTGTTCAATCACAAGACTTTTGATATTTTTATTATTTGTCAGCTTATAAAACCCTGTTGTTGTTTTTTAAAGCTTATTTTTGGCATAATTAATATAATTAAAACGGTTTATATTCATGTATATTTAAGGATATTGAAGCGAAACCATTAAAAGCTACTGGATGATTATTGCATTAGTTTAATACATTATTTTCTGTCTGACATGTTTGATAAAAGATGAACAACCTTCTCTTCATTTTGTGCAAAAGTTTTTATTTCTCTTTTCGGTGATCGTTTAATGCCTGATCCAGTTGCAATGACAACAGTTTAAAACCAAAAAGCAGCAGTTTGGACTTTATGGGTTCATGTTCTGGATGTTCTGGATCATCGTATTTGAACACGTTGTTTCAGTCACTGCTGCTGAGGTTCTGCTGGGATTCTGCTGAGGTTCTGTTGGGGTTCTGCTGAGGTTCTGCTCAGGTTCTGTTGGGGTTCTGCTGAGGTTCTGCTGAGGTTCTGCTCAGGTTCTGCTGAGGTTCTGCTGAGGTTCTGCTGAGGTTCTGCTCAGGTTCTGTTGGGGTTCTGCTGAGGTTCTGCTGAGGTTCACATAACTGCAGTTAATTCTTCAAACATGAAATCAAATCCCAGAGTTGTGGATAAAGTCATGTTGCTGCAGAGCCGCTTCCTGTCATAAATGGTATTTTCTGGTGTTTGTTTTCCAGGACAGAC